AAGTAATTGAACGCTATCTATAGAATGATTCAGCTACCGTGCTATTGTATCGTGTTTTCGTCGAGAGTGTAAATTTAATACTACAGTTTAACTTTGTCTCTTTCTCTTCCTTGAAAACAATTGAACGTGGAGATCTCTCTGACGAGAAGCGACGTTTGCACGATTTTTTTTTTAGATAATGATCGTCAAACTACAATCACGTTGTACAATTACGTTGTGCAGTAAGTCTCGACGGTGCGATATACCACAGGTAGCAACAGAGTAACGTCGTAATAAAATGTCTGCGTGATATACAGGTTACAAAGGTGACCGTATGTTGTACCAGGTTTAGTACGTACCACGAAATTCCTCCAGAGATCAATTCAACTCGCACGCTATTAACTAACAGGCGAGCAGAGTTAGCGGTAACAACTAGCTACATACTTAACTTACACGGTTAATAATGGCGGCGAGATTGGTCAAAGTAGGGAACGAACAACGCGCAGCAGCGCGAATATTTTCGTAAACGATCAGCATGTTAAAACTCGACGATAAAAGCGAGGAAGCAATTCAGCAATTCGCGGCGATGCGCGGATTACGCGTCGCGCGACATCTTCGAAAGGACGTTGGACGTTGTTAAAAGTCCCTCTTTCACCCTCTTTCCCGGCCCGACAACCCTTGGTCGGTGCCTTAGGAAATATCTGGCAGGTTGACTCGATAAAACTACCCTCTCCCTCCCTCTAATGTAATTCACTTTAGCCACGGGGCGAGCGCGCGGGGGCAAGGGACGGGGGGTGAGGGGGGGGGGAGCCTCGAGAGCGGAGGTTAGCGATCGAACCAACAGCATCAAGGCCTGGCTTTTGGCCAGAATTAATGAACTGAAGATCGTAAGGGTGGATTCGAGCAGTGTATTGTCTTGTCGTGTTAGTGGGAGAAGGCGCGAACCGATAGCTAAAAGGAAAAACGAATCTCACTTCTCCTATTTTTTTTCTTTCTTTCTTTTTCTCCCTTTTCCTCCGAGATTTCGCTCGTGCTTTTCTTCTCTCTCTCTCTCTCACTTTTTTTTTTCTCAACGGTGTGTCATGTATATTGCAAATATCATCCGCGTTTCAATTTCGATAATTTCAACAGTTAGTTATGCAGGATGTCGAGAGCAAGTAAGTCGAAAAGAAAGAAGTGAAATTTTTTCTCGACTTTACTACATTTTTATTTATGCATAAAGTAGCAGAAGACGTTGTTCGCAGCAACTTTTAATAAAACGTGCACGACGGGAAACATTATTTCCAACAATATTTTCAAGGTAATCGAATTATACGTAACATTGGAAATCTTTCAAGCACACACAAACACGAGCATTATCAGTGTCTATTAATTTAGTACGAGATAAGACTGGCAAGTCTTACTTAAGTGTACATAGTGCTAGATGAAACATCAGAGTTGATCTTTTCAAGTAACAAAGCGTCGGACGAAGAAGAACTTATTTTTTTTCTCTTATTGTAGAATCAATCTCTCTCGATTATATCACCAGTTATACGAATCATTCTGTATTGTATAGCAGAGAGAATTGCTTTGATTAACGATTATAGAATTGATTCATTCAGTTGAAAAGCAAAATACCCATGATAGTTTTATCTATCTATCTATACATGTATATGTGTATAATATCATTATCGCTGTGCACCGCTTGTACTACAAATTATAACTTAATTTCTAGATAAACGAGACACGAGCAAATTTGT